TGACCCCATTATTGCTATTTACACCAAAGTGAGAAATGCTTCTTAAGGTAAATCATGAAAGCAAAGAATGACAGAATTTCCTCAGGAATGTTTTGTATCCAGTTATTTCGTCCTTGCGTCATGAACATCGAAGTTGCTCATGGATACTGCTGATTTGTTGATCTCCACAGGGATGCAGAAAACCAGATAATTGCTCGTGTTGACTACAACGTGCAGAAGGGAAATACTGCTAGCCCAAGCCTTTTCCTTTCTGACATCCTGAAACTCTCTGGTATGCATCACATAGCATCATCATAGCAAAATTCATAACCTGCCTAGTTTACTATGCTACCCATACCTCTTTACTAGGCATGTAGGTCTATTCAAGATGACGCAGTAATAAAATATCACAGCTTTCAATTCATCGTATTTTTTTTGCAGCTGCAGGTCATATTTTGTATTTCTAGGTATTTTTTGAACATGTTTGTGTTGAAAACTGGCTTAAGTTCATGCAAATAATGAATCACTGTTGCACTCAATGGTCCAGTAGTTCCCACAACAACCAGCAGCAGAATGACAACAACTCTGCCCAGCCCAACTAACAGAAGGACAATCACCACAGATAAGACCATGTATGTTTGGAATTTCAGGACATTATTAAAGTTTAGCGTCAAGTCAGCCTTTTGTTGTTCTTGCTATTAAACAGATCAACCTGATCATTTTTCATGTCATGGATTCTTCTCATCTTTTTCTTCCAGTGTGGGATCAGCACTCATCTTCATTAAGTTAGTTTTCAACATCAACAATACAGCCCTCAGTCAGAGCGAGATTCTCAGTTTAATCAATGAATTCCTCTCACCAGAATTGAAATTTCCTTCTAAAAGTCTGACTGACCCTGTCAGCATCCAGAATGCAGTGTTTGAAAGTAAGCTCCATTTTTGCCCTATTGTTTAGAATATAGTTCAAAGATTGTTTTTGTCATATATGTATGAGTTTCTTGAGTAATAAATGCTTGATATGAGTAGTTCTTTTCCCGGACAGAGATTACACATGTATCGCTATTATAACAGTGAAACTGCTTTTATACAACATGCATACAAACAATTTCTGAAATATGTAACATACAATATATTCTGAATAACGTGGGAGTGTGCCCTGCGATTGGTAGATGCCCCATCCTAGGTTGTTCCCTCCCTTGTGCTCACAGTTTCTAGGATAGACTCCAGACCTCCCGCAACCCTGAATTAGACAAGCGGGTTAAAAAAAATATGAATATTATATCCTTGAATTTTGTGTTCAAATTAGATTTTAAATTGCATTAATTACATATTTTTCGGTTAATAAAAATTTTTCAGGTATATCCAGAAATTCCTTTGCCATCAAATTCGAATTCAAGATACCTCAGGTGAACATGTCAGGAAATTACACACTCAGGAATGACACTTATGATGAGATCCAGACGTCTCTTGATAAATTGGTAAGAATCCTGATCATTATTTAGGGGATTATGGTTATTCCTGTGTTTCCTTGTTTATGGGCTATGGATGCATTGCTTTCTCCTTTATAATGAGTGTATGACCTTGCTATTGTGGGATGCTATTTATACAGTTAAAGTGGCCAAATGCAGATACATCTGCTGTACATCTCCACTCAGCTTGGGGACCAGTCACTAATCAGATGCCAATAAATCAGCTGTAGCTCATTTTAGTCAAGTTT